GGGAGTCCAGGCTTCCCCCGTGGACCTGGACTTCCACGTTGTCCAGTGGGACCTTTACGACCAAGATTTCCGCTTATTCCGGGAGCTCCAACCGGTCCAATGCCACCAACTTCTCCAGTTAGTCCAGGTGGTCCGGGCGGTCCTCTTTTTCCAGGTTCCCCTCTTAGTCCGGTCAGTCCCACTGAGCCTTTCGGTCCTGGTGGTCCAGGGGGACCTTGTGGTCCCATTGTCCCCAAATCACCTGGGGGACCTGGTGGACCTTGTGGACCTGCCTCTCCAGTTGCTCCGTCAGGTCCGTTTTCACCATCACTTCCTGGCTCTCCATCAGCACCAGGCTCACCAGCAGGTCCGGGTGGACCACGTTCTCCGTAATCTCCTCGGTCTCCTTGAACGCCTTTTCTACCTCTTGGACCCTTGTTTCCCGGTGCACCACTTAGTCCAGGAGGTCCCGTTGCTCCACGCTGACCCACCATACCAGGACTTCCTACGACAGTCCTGTTTATCACCTGCCCAACTTCTGAAATGCCGGGCGGTCCACGGATTCCTTGAGCTCCTCGCAGTCCCTGCGGAAATTTGATTGAACAGACATGTATGTGGTTTCTCCTAACAGTAACTGTGCCCAACAACGCTAACAGAACGAAAAACGCACCAAAATTTTATTACTAACAACGGTCGCTCCACGTATTGGATGAACTGTTCATGGAAAAAAATTGTGGAGAGATCAAACTTTAAATTGCAAAGCAAAATACATTCATGACCTTGCCAGTTCAAATGATATGGTTAATGTCTTTTTCACTTTTGGTTAATGGCGAACATAGCTGTGGCGTGGCTAAGTTAATGAGCATTCAAAGTTGCGATTGAACATTTGTGGACAGAAAAAGTTACGGGAACTAAAACTTCCAGACCCTTAGTATTATGCCTTTGTCACTTTTGGTTAATGGCGAACATAGCGCTAGTGTGTCTAAGGTAATGAGCATTCAAAGTTGCGATTGAACGTTTGTGGACAGAAAAAGTTACGGGAACTAAAACTTCCAGACTATGCCCTTAGTATTGTCAGTGTCTGCAAGGGGTATCTGAATCTGAAGCACATTTAAGACGTTCAAAACATGGTCGTCGTTGATTTGCAAAGGCTAGTGTAAACATTTTACTTAGTTGAGAAATCAAGACCTGGGAGACCTGAAGACGCAGTGACCCGGTGGTGCAATAGTCTGTCTTAGCCTCGTTCTCTGTCGACCAGGAACTTCGGGTCAGCATCTTAGTCAATTCCACGAATTTCCCCACTTTGTCGAAACACAGTGAGTTGCTTTTCCTGACAGTCTGCAGCGAGAAACTGTGTTTTTGCTTCTACGGGAACCGCAGTCGAGATCTTTTTTTGTCGCAAAACCCGCTAAATACCCACTGCTTGTGATTATAGTTATGGCACCGTCCTCTAAGAACTAGCAAGACTAGCACTGGTAATCGCAAAGAGATCGATCCCCTCATTTTGGATGGCACTAGGTACATCGTTGTCTCTCCAACCAGCTCGTTCCCCTTTTCCAGACATGGTCGAGAGAAGAAGAGAAAAACCGTCATTGCGTGCAAAGGCTTCGGGAACCAAAACAACGGGTAGGAAAGATCGCATGATCTTAAGTGGGGTCTGTTAATAGTATTAGTCCCATTCGGACCGCTTATTAATCAGCACAAATATGGGTTACCGCTTCCTTGCCAACGTCTCATCCCAAAATTTGCATTTATAGAGTGATATCTTATCAATGGGTATATTTTCAGCCGAGTACCTTAAACAAATGCGTCTGAAGGCTTGATCGAACTACCGCTGTTTGTAGACTACCACATGGTCGTCTCACCAATCTAAATTAAGCAGTATACTGCTCCCTAACTTGCGATTAAAAATCTCTCGATACCGTATGCCGATCAAGTATAAGGTCACTCAGTTTATGAAAGCATTCCATGGTTTCGTCGAAACCAAACAGCTTAGCTCATGAGTAATAATAATAGTGATAATAATGACAATAATAATCATAGTTCATCTGTGTTGCCCTTCCTGTACGTAGCTGCCTTGCAGCATCATAGAGGCATGGGCCTTAGGCTTTGCCGGGTTGTCCAAGCCTAGACAGGTTGGATTACTATTCCAGTTTGAGCTGTTTGGTGCTCTGAGGATCACTTATGTGCCATAATCCTTAATGTATCTTGGATTTGTTTATTGGGGAAGGGCTATTAACTATCAGTCTTGACTAGTCCTTGTTGAGAGTTGTAGAGTGGTCTTTCAGGTACTTTCCAGGTAGCTTACAGAAAGACTCTAATGTCCTATGTTTTGTGAGTTATACTTTCAGCTGAAAACACTGATGCGAAGTATGTGATCCGACCTCTCGGGGATAGGCTATACTGGAAAGTGGAGGTTTTCTACACCACTACGTAACAACATTTAACCGAGAGTCACAAGGTTCACAACGTATGCTATAGGGTGCGTCCCTCTACAGGCGAGAAGCGGACATTGGAAAAAAGTAAACTTCCAGCTTTCTTCCGCTCATTACAAGACAGTATCCGTCAATGAAATTAAACTGCTCGGACTTCCGGTTGCCATAATTTTAGAAAACATATACTCCGACGAAAGTAACCAGGTGTGTTACAGCGGATTTTTTGCTGTAAACTTCCAGCTTTCTTCCGCTCATTACAAGACAGTATCCGTCAATGAAATTAAACTGCTCGGACTTCCGGTTGCCATAATTTTAGAAAACATATACTCCGACGAAAGTAACCAGGTGTGTTACAGCGGATCTTATTTATTGCTGAGCCGTACTCCTGCGATGTCTACATACTTTAGGTGTTTCAAATAAACAGAAGTTCCAAAACTCGAGTGTCGTTTGGATCAAAGTCCCAGGTGAATCAATACGCATTCATTTTGGCATAACGGAGAAGCGTGTTCAACTTACTCGCCTTCCTTTGTTACCTGGCATGCCTGGATATCCCTTTTCTCCGGGTTCCCCTTCCGTCCCCTGCCTTCCAGATTCTCCGGGAAATCCGGTAGCACCAATTATACCCTATGGACACAAAATGCGGAACAGTTTGTGGGGAGTTAAAAGCAAGACAGAAGCGTTGAATCTTCGTTAGCGTTCATAGTTCTATTGATAAGTTAACCATAGATCCGCCCAATTTAAAGCCGAACCGGGTTTTCCAACAGACCTTAGCGTAAACGAGGTTATAATTTGGGCATTAACATAATGCTGCTTAAGAACCGACAGGATACACATTCACAGTGAACATATCGATGGATTTGTCGAAACTCATTGATCTAGAGCTGATATCTCCCGGAGCCTATTAGTATAAAAGACTTAGGTGATCCTACCGATGTCCCCCATCGATAGACTAACCCAAGTTTTGCGAATCAATGCGCTTTCTCTGGTGAATTTATCGCTTGTCGGACGCCTATATCTACGTGCTGTGGATAAGAGCACCAGAAACACCAGAAATGGAACTGTTATTTGTGACTTATCCTCTGTGTTTCCGATCACCTGAATACAAACATGCGTATAGAAAGGATGCAGGAAGGATGAACGTCCGCTTTTACGATTAAAAGTGCTTGAGTATAATGGTCCACCAGATGCGTCTGCATTAAACACAGGTCAAGGAGAATTCTACCTTACAAGAGAGGAGGCATTATGTCATCATTTTATTTCGTACTTAGTACATGTAACAAGGACCAGGGTAGAAACATTCTGGGTGACTCGAGTACCTCCTGCGGCGTGCACCTGAAGACATACAAAGAAAAAGTGCGTCACTGTGCCCACATGCAGCACTATGGTCACTTTTAAAGTTCCTCGTATGTAAAATTTTGGTCTATCATAGCACAAAGACTGCAATTTAGTTAGCTTCTGTTACCTTTTACTAATAAACAAAGGAGTTTATCGGCTAAGAATGTCAATGATAGTATGAATCGATCACACTTACCCCGTCGATCAGAGCAGTATGTGGTCGAGATGATGTCCGATACGTCGACCGCTCAGTATTGCATGGCGGTATAATGCTGCATTTTCGTGACCCGTGAGAACCACGAAAGGTCCGCTCCGATCAACTTGGGTAGCCCTAGTAGCCCATAAGATTTTACAAACCGCGGTTCGGTCCAGCTTCGGCACGATCCACTTAACGTTCACTTAACCAGCAAGCACGATTTTGTCTTCGAATACCTGTTCCAGTATACATCAACATATTTTGCGCACGAAAGTGGGACAACTAGTCACATAAGTGCTAATTGCATTCGGCCACCATCGCCAATGCATGTCTGTGGTTCAGCAATATAGGGATTTTTACGTGGAAACATTTTACCTATAAGTTCAGCCTGTTGAAAATGTGTGGGGAGAAAAACTTGTTGCACAGACCGCGATGATCTTGTCTTGTGGACTAATTTAAATGGGTGAAAGAACTTTGATGTACAAACTATCGAAAAGCCAATGGAAAGCAAGCCCAGAATTCGGAGGCTCCGCTTTCAACCGAAATGGCTTCATAAGTATTTCACACCTTCTAGAGCACGTGAACATACATTCTAGCAGTCCTCCTATCCTGGCGCGATTACTCTGTGCACCCGCCACCTAACCCATTGAAGTTCGTCGGCAGGTGACAAGTGCTGCCGCACAGAAGACACTTGCGAAACAGGTATGTTATCGCCGTTCCACCAAAGTACAACGAATAAACCCGACTGACCATGTTGGACAAGGCGGTGTCCTCACTTTTGAGGGATTTGACTGGCTTGCCGTACCCTTTGAGCAACTAACCTGACTGACCTGCTCGTCAAGATTGCAACGCACGCTTGAAATTTGTCAAAAATATTTTATTAGTTCCAGGTACCTGCGGGAATTTCAGAACTTATGTTCTCACTCGTCTTTCCTGGCGGTACTATTGTTCAGGTACACCTGTTTAACCCTGGCAAAGGGATCAAGTGTTCAACGGTTACTGATTCGTTGCTGTGACCTTCCAGTCAAGCAGTCACTCGCTGCATGTTGAAACGTCGTCAGCGAACTGTGTTTTGAGGCGGAAAACTAGCCCGTCTCATTTGTGCGGCAATGCACACTTTCATTTGCTTACCAATCCCCCTACATGAGTAGTGTCGTATGTAAGGTAACCATTCTTATACATGATCTGATAATTTAGGAAAATAGAACCCTTGAGAGGGATCAGTTACTTTTTTAGCGTATTGTCTATGTTGATTGGTAGGTGGGTTGGATTGGGTTAAAATCACACGAGTTCTTTTGGAAATTTACGGACGATAGGGAGTCTGCGCATCAATAAAAGCGATGCTGCACCAAAATGACTGTGCAGAGAGGCCAACAGATGAGGCACGAATGAGGTAGCAGCCTGAAAGCGTGACCTTTCTACGACTGTGAAGAATCGTAAGAAGAGTTCCGAACAGATTGGAGAAATCTTGGCCTGACTGTCGGATCCCAATATACAAAGTCTGATCCGAGTTAAGTACACGTTTATGACCACGATGGGTCTACTGAACGTTCAATTTAAATTATATGGACAAGGTTGCCTTTCTTCTTAGAAATATCAGTTTACTCACATATACTCCAGGTGGACCCATTATTCCGGTATCGCCTTTTACACCCCGTGGCCCCTGCGGTCCAAGATATCCACGCTGTCCCGGACGTCCTTGAGGCCCAGTCTTTCCCGGCTCCCCAGGCTCTCCTTGTTCACCCGGCTTTCCGTCCTTTCCCGGTTCCCCATCTTTCCCATCTGGACCAGGTGGACCATCGTAACCAGTTGGGCCGGGTGGACCTGCCATTCCTGGAGTTCCTGGTGGCCCTTGTTCACCAGCTGGCCCTGGAGGTCCTGGAGGTCCCATTGCACCAGCAGGTCCTTCAGGTCCATCTTCTCCATCAGCACCGGGTTCTCCAGCGTCACCCACATCGCCAGGGAAACCTTGTGGTCCGGGCAAACCAGCAGTTCCCTTCTCACCATCTGCACCAACCGGACCCTAAAAGGGATTGTGATTATTCAGATAATCAAGCCATATTGTGCACTTCAGAAAAACTACTGAAAGCGACACTCACTGTACTTCGAAGTTAACTGATTAGCCCTAGGTGATTAAGCCATCAGCGAAACTGTTCGTTTTAGGATAAAAACTATTAAGTAATATGACAAAACGGCTAACTGTGAATACACTGAACCAATAAGCTTCGTCAATTCAATTCTAACCTGAGTTCTGTCCGAGTAACAGTTGTCTGATCAGATTACTTAAGCCATTAAATTCATACAGATGGTAGTGGCCGCTCATTACCTTGGAGCCTCGGTCAAAGAATTATAAAGCCAACTTACACTGATCCCTCTTGGTCCAACTTGCCCCATCGGTCCGGAGGGTCCCGTTGTCCCGGGTTTTCCGTTTACACCTGGTAACCCTGCTGGTCCCATCGGTCCACTACTGCCCTTCAGCCCAGGTAAGCCATTCAACCCAGGTGGTCCATTTTCACCTCGTGGCCCAGGACTGCCGTCAAGTCCTGGACGGCCCGGAGGGCCGGGAGGCCCGGAGATACCTTGTTCTCCTGGTGTACCTGGTTCTCCGGGTTGCCCATCGGTGCCGGGTTGACCATCTAAACCGGGACTGCCGGGGCTTCCACTGGGACCGAGTTCTCCTCTAACACCCTACAAGCGGATTAATCGAAAGTTTATGATTGAATTTTGAGTTGAACGTTTTACCCGTACACAAATCACTGAATAGTTTCGCTATCATTCAGGTGGCCTTTCGCATCCAGGATCTTTGTGTATACTTTGCTGACCCTGAGAATAGCTTAGTCTCTTCAGTCGTATGGTTGGAAGGTTGACAATGGTAGCGACGTAATCCACCTAACAATCTGTGGTCGGTGTTTGAAAGTAAATTGTTATGGGTTAAGATACCAAAATTTTTTTCCTGAGCCTTCAGACAAACAAGTAATTATTGCACACGAGTTGTTGCGTGTATATGTCAGACACAGTGCGTTCTTGAAGCTAAAAAGTTTACAAGACGGTCCCGGGTCATGAATTATGTTGCGCCTTGAACGCATTACTGGAAAAATTGTTTGGCATGAAAAACGAACTTACTGATAGAATTATATCGATTCCTGCAAGTCTCATCTCCTCAATTGGTCGCCGTTCGGACAGAGGCAAAACGTTCCCAACAGGAAAGTATCATGCACAGCTAACTCAGTATGGTACGGCTGATTATCCAACGGACAATAAGAATTACTGGACTTGTTTCAGTGGCTCCTGATTCTCGGTTCCTTCAGAGAACGAGAGGGCAAAGGTGTAATTTTTATGCCTTCCCAAGTTTTGGCCTGTACTCCGAAAGTAGCCGCAACAAGATAGGTTTCCGTCAAAGTAGTTACGTTACATACCAATCCTCACTGAATTTACGGCGAAGGGGGAATGCAAGTTCACGCGGATCAAGTAAGCTCATATCATCCTCACCGCCTTTATTCGTGTCCCATTTCTACGGTAACAGTCTTCTGCTGCGCCTGAGTTGTTCTTCGCGGGCAAGACGCAAAAAAAACGAAATTAAGATCAAGGATGGTTGCTCTACATATGTGGATTACTGGGAGCGGAACTGAACAGCGGGGTTATTTGGAATGGTTTGACCACTTTGCGGATCCCAGGTTACTAGCAACTGTAGCATTTCGCGTATCAGCACATGGCTTTACCTGGCGATGAGAGTTGTCATCTCCTCTTCATAAAAGTAAAGAACATCGCGTTCGTAAATCCAGATGTTGTTGTCGGCTGACTACCGATATTTCTCTTCAGCCTTATTGAGGCTTTTCAGATAACGTTGGGTGAATTATAACCCTGTCAACATTCGAAAAACAAGTCCTAGTCATTCATTTTGTGTGCATTTGGCCTGGAACCTCTATTTTCGACACGTCAGCTTGACAGGTGCTGGCTGGTGGGCCTAGACGCGGTCAAAACCTGATGAATTGCTACTCGCAGACAGGCTCTGATAACCGTCTCTAATCGAGTGAATTACGTTTCCTTGATGTTAAGATAGATGACGAGACAATAAAAGTGTAATACAAAGTTTTGAGTGACATTGCTTATCCTTTAGTTTATCTCAGCTGCAGCGTGAATACCCTGAAAGCAGAAAAGCCTATCGACAATAGCAAGAAGACAGTCAACTTTGTGGAAAGCTAGGACAATACCAAACCAATCAGGTGCCGAAATTTCACGTTTCAAATTGTCGGAGCACATTCATTCAAAGAGCGTAAAACTGGTGGAATGTTTACTCTCGGTCTAATGGCTACAGTTTAGTCATACTTGACACTGTCCGTCCTGCAGATGGTGCGACCACGTATAGCCGGATGTGTGACCAGCTTCTAGAGGCAAGCTTCTGAGCTTTCTCCGGGAGAACTGCTCCTTACTCGCCTCTTTCATCTATCGTAATAAGGCGGTTATCGTGTTGTTATAGCTGGACTAATTGCTTGACCGTGAGCCCTGGCCTTTTAGATTCATTTCTCAACCTGAAGTCAGGATGTAAGTAGAAGAAAACTGGCTCATGGATGCTTCTGGCTCGCAGTTCTGAGTTAACCAGATCGATTTTATGTCGTATTCGAAAAAAAGAGAACGTACTCATTATGCGCATGATCATCTTTTGTTCAGGTTGATTCACACAATAATCCCAAACTAACCATTCCCGCGACTAGTTACGAAGCTGAAGACAAAATACCTAAAATAACACATCGCTGTTTTGGTTGAACTTTAGATTCCGATTGGTTCTTTGTCGTTGACAGCCAAACCATTAGGAAAGAGATTACAAATGGTCTTCAAGAGTAGAAAAATTAATTTATCTAGTCATCAGTAACAATGAGAGAATAGCTTTCAATTTATTTTGTCGATTGTAGCTACTGCAGAAGTGGCTACAACCAGTGAACAGTTTCTATTTAGGTCTTTATGCTGACCTGTTTTTGCGAGTAATTTTCAAGAGAACAGCCTGAGTAGAAATGCCGTAGACGTTTCCAGGCTGCCTTACAAACAAACAAACATGAAGCAGCGCGTGCAGTGCCGAGTCACAACGGCAATGAGATACTGTTTTAGCCGATCTGTTTGTCCGAGTCCAGTGTGTTGTAAATAGTCCGAATACATCGCCTTGTGGATGCACCAAATGGCAATGAATTTGTCACTGACCGGCGTGGATCAGTTGATTGAACTGCTCACATTGCTGTCAGATGATGTTCGTTTTGATAAGGGCAAAGCTTGCCGGCCTAGATGAACGACACATCCTTTGCAGTACAGGGGCCTCCAGGTTCTCTGTTCGAATCAGTGAGATTTTTTGTTGGGGTGCGTTGGAACACACAGCTTGACCCCGCCCAATTCTGTACTGTGGCGATGTAAACATTTCGGTGTGGTCATCTGACAGAGTGGAAGACAAACAACAGGCCGAAATCGATATTGTAATATTTGTCAATGCGACATTTATTTAGGCTAAGCGTACGACCAACGGTATCTTCGTAATTCAGTGGTTCGACTTTTGGTACCGGCCGAATAGACCTGGTTTCCATCATGATGGTGTGCCGATATTTCAGCTTCGCCGCCGCGATACTAGTTGGCGAGCCTTTCTGTGCATCATACATAGCAGCGTGCAGTGTGACATACAGCCGTACCTCAATGCCCCGTTGAAGGCACTTCGTAGAAGCGAGGTGATCGACTGACAACAGTTTGATTTTTTTCAACTCCGTCTGTAGAATCCGAACAGCTGCTGGGATTAGCTTGCGTATGTTTAACTGTGGCTGTGGTTGTATAGAGTGAAGCGGCTAATGTGCGCTGGGTAGAGTCTACCTGAAAGAACCATTTGGTTGCCAGAATAGGTGGCACTGTTGAACATATCCAAGTGACGTGGTGAAAAACTGGAAGCAGTCAAAAAAATTGAAGGAGGTAAGGCATGTCACAGTATGTAAATTTTACTAGTGATCGAGTACTACTGGATCAGTGAGATAACAGGCGTAAATGAGAAAAAGACTGGGATTCTCCCGTACTGGAAACATTCGGCATCTCCACATGGATTTTTCATCAGGGCAGAATACTGTACTGTGAGGATGCATGACGTATTGAGATAAACCATACTTTTAAACCTTAAAATCGTATATCAGGTTGATTAAAGTTTGAAGGGTGTGTGATATCCTAGCGGGACGTTATACAAAAGGGACTTTTCTTACAGATTTACAATCTTGTGACAGCTGCAACTGCAAACCTAGCAATGACGGGCCTACTGCATTAGCTACTATGATCACTATATTCTCTTGATATTCCTTCACTTGCTAGAACAAAAGGTGTTCTATCTTCCTAGAACTCTCAAGGTTATAACCCAGGAGCAGACACCACATTCGTGGCGGGTGCTGCGATTTCCCTGGATATCCCAGTTAATTGTCACACCCCGGGGTCCCTAGTACGTATTACATCATCCGGTTACACCGGAAACTTCGATCTGGTTTACTGACTGTACAAAAAGGTATTTTCGAGCAGTGAACACTATGGAACAGCGTATTATTGTTACATCAGCTGGACAACACGATAAGGCAGCAAACAACAAGTGAATAATATTCAAATTTCCAAATATCTATCATTTTGTCGTCGTTTTGAAGTGCATTTTGAAGACAAAGCAATTTTAGTTTTTCGTTCTGTATCTGAATCGAGCCAGCCGGTACAATTATGACGCTCTGGCCAGGAGGACAGGCTCCGACAATAATCATGCAGACTCATCTTGCTGGTGTACTAGAATGTATCAAACTCACTAATTTGGGGTTGGGGTAACTAACTCCATCACACTGCGCTGTCTGTCATTGAAAACACACATGGACACTAGGTTTTTCGTTATCCAGGTTCAGCAGACTAAGACGATACTTCACATCCATCACGTACCTCAGGAAAACAGTGGTGAGACAGTTAAGCATCGCCCAGAGGGCTTCATTGTGTACTCAGTGCTGTATTGTCACAGCAACAAAAAGCAGTCAAGCTGAAAACACACCACTGTGTAATGAAACATTTGGAACCCTAAATGAAGGTGATCTATCAGTGGTTCACATGATGCCTGCAGTATACCTATTTTGTGATTTAATATCTGATCAAAACTAGCTATTCCCTCCACTTACTAAAAACCAAATCCTTCATTGATTGCCTCTTCCTCATTGGTCCAATTTTGGGAAGTTCCCGTGACGGTTAATTTGACTATACACATGGAATTGGAGTGGACAAGCATAGAGTAATAAGTCATATTGGACTACACATTTGATAAATCGATGGACAGGAAAAACCTTAAGATTATCAAACGGTTTTCTAACTGTTTATCAGTTTACCTTCACACCAACTGGCCCCATTAGACCACGTGGCCCTCGAGGACCAGGTTCTCCTACGCCTCCAGGTCTACCCACTTGACCTTTTTCTCCTTTAATACCGATTGGACCGGTTGGACCGACGTTGCCGATAACACCGGATTCACCCTGAGCACCTTTCGGACCTTGTGCACCCAATCTTCCCATCAATCCCCTTTCTCCGGGACGGCCATCTACTCCGACCGCTCCAACTGAGCCGCGTTCTCCAGGTTCACCTCGAACCCCAGGTCGTCCGTCGTGACCAGGTTCCCCCTGTGAACAAGAAATATTTCACAAACGATTCTCGAACCCATGTATCTGCCGAAATACCTAGCGTCATGTTACTGTGAAACGGTGTACTAATCAGAATGGTCAATCTCAATTTAAACAACGTTGTTCCCGAAAATCAAAACTACGGAGATAAACAGCAATAATATAGTGAAGACCCACCTGTATACCAGGTTGTCCAGCTTGGCCAGGTTTCCCCGGATTACCAGCAGTTCCTCTTGATCCCTTTGCACCTTTCTTGCCGGGTTCACCCCGTTCGCCTTTCTGTCCAACGGATCCGGGTATTCCTGGTGTACCGGGCGTTCCGACGCTACCCTGTATACCCACCGGCCCAACTCGACCAGCAGGGCCTGTTTCTCCGCGTGGACCTGCTGGACCAGGAGGACCCATAGGGCCAGGGGGGCCGATGGGCCCCACAGGCCCTTGGAGACCTTGAGCACCCATCGCTCCTTGAGAGCCCTGAAATAAATGGAAATGTATGAGTGAATGTTGCGGATGCTTCCCATCCATAGCTTCTCATCGTGAAATTTATGCTAAATCGCGGATTTCGCATTCGTTAAGCACCAAGGTACAGAAAGGTCTCACTGAACTGAGTTATTGGACAGATGAGTTTTTCTTCAAAACGAATCTCACCATTTTAGCTTTGTAACAACTCAGTTAATTTTAAATATTTGCAGGTGACTGCACATGGGTTTAAGTTATAGTGCAGCGCAGGAATGTTCCATTAGTTTACCAGGAATCACAAGCTGTGGACAGCGAAACTCACTGTCAATCAAAACAAAAATATTTTAAAAATGTCTCTGATTTGCTTCCAGATGAGTAACTAGTCCCGACTAACTTGCGGGGCTTAGAAACGTTAGTGACTTGGTGCGTGAAGCAGTCACATCTGATCCAATGTCGAAAAGATGCTCCTGGAAAATCTTTCATCTTGGGGCTTTTTGGTTCACCAGCCCGATTCAGACGGGCTCGTCAGTTTTCCAAAAAAAAAACGCTGTTCTGTTGTTGTTGTTGTTGTCCCTCATTGATGGACTAATCGTCTCGTACAGAGCATATTGATTTATCGGTTAAATTCGGCTTGGTTACATCGGCCATAGGGTCGACAGCCAACACGTCAGCTTGAGAAAGTTGCAGCGATTGTACGAGGATGGTAGTGCGCGAGCAATATGACCTCAACGTTGGCGATAAGTTGCATGTTGGGTAACCTCACCCGGGTATCATAGTCACGCGTCGACAAGTGGTGTGCTGTTTGACCATGGATAGATACCAGACATAATTGATCATAGACAGCGCGTATTATAATCAAGGAACTGGAAATTTCGGAACGAAAATGGTCAGTGATCGAGGCTGGTAACTGTTGTGATTGACTGGTACTAATCCAATCCAAATGAAAGAGGAAGTGGAAACCACAGTAGCCCTGTTACCCTAGTTTGTGAGGGTATTTGAGACAGACCTCCCAGCTAACTACTCATTTTCCCATTTCGGGATGCATAAGCAGGGTATCAATAAAATTGATTATTTTGTGTTTTTGTATTTTACAGAAACCGTCAAACCGACCTCAATTATCTTTGTTTTAGCTTGCTTTCGGGTTGTACTTTATCAGTATCAATGCAGGAATATAGTTTTCCAATTGAACCTTAAAGAGGTACCAAAATACTTTTTCACTGGAGAATCCTAGGCTCGAACAGAAGGTGACTCAGGGGTGCAAAAGAACTTAGATGTTTCACGCTTTCTCTGAATACGACTGTTTCTGTTTATATATATATATATATCCTGCAAGATTGATTCTATCACAATGACAGGAAAGAAATGTACTAAAATGAGGGTTTCGAGATTAGAAGGTGAGCAGTTTTGATCAGAGTTCTAGTCACAAGATGGTTTTGATACGACCAACGAAATTTACTTTGGGATTAGAGATGACACTCGAACGACAAAGCTAATTTTTGTGACACATGCCGTTTGTACACCTCAGTCTACTGTGGAGGAACAAACAAGCTAGAGTAGCAACCACCAAAAACTAGCGCCTTCTGTGAAGTAATCTTATATTCACATTAATTTTGTTTTTCAGGGAAACCTCAACAGAATCTTAGCTACCATGATATTCTTCAAATGAATGTACTGCACAAAGGCCGCCTCCTGTTTCGGTCGGTACGAGGTTCATGATATCATAATATATTTTTTTAGATGTTTTAAAATCTTCGACAGTACACGACCAGTTTGGCCCCTCTTGGGACTCATGAAGTAGGCGCAGTCCTGGATTTTCCGCCAACCATATGTTCTACGTGTTTTTGTGTTTTGCTGATTCAGTCAGTATGTAGAACTCTAATGAACATTTGATAGGCTTTCATGACCACACTAACCTTTGCACCTTCAAAGCCATCATCTCCTTTTTCTCCCTGGGGTCCCATATATCCTTGAGGTCCAGGGCTTCCCTCTGGTCCAGGCTCACCGGGAGATCCAGCAATGCCTTGAGGTCCCGGTGTACCTTGGACTCCTGGAACGCCTGGACGACCATCTCTTCCTGGAGTTCCTGGGACTCCCTGTGGACCAGGCGGGCCTCTTTCGCCATCCGTTCCTGGAAGTCCGATTGGTCCACGTGGTCCCGGTGGACCCATTCCACCCTCTGGACCTGGTGGCCCTGGATCACCGCGGGGACCCCGTGGACCCAATGCTTCGCTGGGACTGCTTACTTGACCTTTGTATTGGACAAAAAGAAAAAAATACAATCGGAACTAAGGCTGAATCATTAGCGTCGAGTATAAACGGTTAGATGATACACAGTTGTTTGAAAAAGAAGGTTCAAGCGATCAAGCTGACAGTTTTCAGTTTGCTTGTTGACGTACCTACATGTGCAATTCATAAAGTTTTTGGGTGAAAAACACACTAGGTGCTTTTTAAAAAGTGCGTCGTATAAACACTATATAGTCTTTATGTAATATGGAGCTTCAGGTTAATATAGATCTACTGAAATTATGCGCTTTGTTCTGCTGGAGGTTTGAATATATGAACTTATCCAATAACAGCAACCACCAGCATGACTTTATCTACGAAGTGACCCCTGGTAAGATTTCAGATTTATATAATTTAAGTTTGGTAGTAAACAGAGGCGCTGCCAGATAAGAGCACTTTTCTGGACGGACAAGAAACGTCTAAATAAGTGGACTCTACAATTCGACTGCAGTTTACTAATTCATGTTGAGGGTTGCTGCGACTGGTCAGACAGTTCCCGGCATGGGGAAGACATATGTGCACCGACTGGTCCTTCAACTTTACCTGATTGCCCATGTTGAGTTCGGATTTCCACTGAAATGCTGCTGGTCCCAAGCCCGCGTTTCGTATGGTGTAGTAATCAACGTCATTGTTAGCGGTGAGAGTGTAACAGGATTGAGGCACCCCAGACCATGTTTACATTACAGAATAGAATCACATCGTGGTCATATTTGGAGCAAAAGATGACCCGTGTTTTCCAGACAAAACTTTCTGGTTTTGCTAGTGAACGTTTGAATTTCTAAGTGGGCAAAATTCGCCATCCTCAAGGCCTAATATTTTCGAGATCCATGGTTTTGGTTTACTTACTACAAGTATTTAATAATGCATGCACAGCATTTCATGTTTTTACTCATTTCCTTTGACTGACAAAGATCTAGACTTCGAGTGCCACCCTATGTTTAGTCTAGGAAGATGGCACGATACATATTATCTAGCGACGTTTCGGAAAGCCAGTGAATTCGATCGTCATGCATTGGTAAGGAGATTTTGTAGTTCGCTTGGCGAAACAGCTCGCGTTATGTACTAGCATAACAAGACACCTTAGCTTCACAGAACTAATCGGTGCCGGATGAATCATTATGCAGAGTCAGTTATACAGCCCAAAACATGCTATTTACCTCCTGACACAAAACGAAAACATACTCTAAAACAGTGACTCATTTTTTGAGGAACATCCATGAACCAACCACAAAGGAATTATATCTGGAGCTGGCGAAATACACTCATTTGCAAATTAATTTGGTTTTTCGAGAGACTCACCTGGAACCCAGCTGAATCTCTCGGTTTTGGTGTTTCCAGGTAACTGAATGTGCTGCACCAGGCCGCCTCATGTTCCAGTGGCTACGATATTCGAGATATCGCGATACATATATATGAGTCTCTCGAAAAGCCAAATTAGTTTGCAAATGAATGTGTTTCGCCAATTTCATGAAATTTGGTTTCAAGTAGAACATAAGGTTGACGGAAATTCGGGGAGTGTGCCTACCTGATGAGCCCCAAGAAGGGTGTAAGCGGTCGTGGGCTGTTGAGGAGATTTTAGCAACCTTACTAGTAACGCATTACAAAAATACACCTGGAGCTGTTTGTGATTTCGGAACGTGCTTGGGACTGAAAACATTCCCTCATCATTTGTCGTAACAACTCACTGGAGTTCATTGTACTTTTATCAGATTGGCACATGCCCCTTTTCATCTGGCATTGTTGCCTTTTTTCAGGAGCTATCCCATGGGGAAACATATAGTTCTCATGCCTGACTGCTAAAACCTTCCTTTTTCATGTGACAGCGCTTTTCACCCTTCCATAACTTGGACCCACTTTTACTCCTCTATAGTCTCTACACTGCCATGTATGTGCGATTCCTGTCCTCCAATCTTTTCAACTGTCATATTAGAATGCTTGAAAATAAAGGCGAAATCATCCGGTTCGGAACTTCTCCTCTCCAACGATTTCAATCCAAAGAGTAATGACTTGATATGCCGATATTTACCGTAACGAGTCACACAGCCTGCGGTTTGACAATTCACTCTTATTCAGCCGAATACTGATCAGTATGAGTTGTGATGGCCCTTAGACGTTGTCGCAACATTTGCTCTCGAGTTTTCCTCGACTATACGTGGTGGACAAAGAAACGAGTTAAAAATAACCGAACCGTTTAGTGCTGGATGCAATTCATTGGCGCAACACAATAAATTACTTCACAAAGTGGTCACTACTTTTTGAAAAAGTGTCAGTCACTGTCAGTCGAGCACAGAGTTTTCTAGTTTATTCAAGCTGACAATACTGGCCGCTTCTGGTAAATTTCCTAAAGAAACAACATTATTGAGGACTTAACGTCAAGCATTCGCTTGGGCGAGTATCCCTTTCACAATAAAATCAATAAAAACACATACCACCCAAGTAGCTATTGACAGTATAATCATAACTATTAAACTTTCGTATTCTAAAACACACGTTTGTAGCGTTTCACGGCAGTTTTGGAGTGAGAAGCTGAATACGGTCAATAAAGTGCGTATTACTAAGAGAGGAATTCATATATATATATGAAGAGAGAGCAAGAGAGAGGAAGAGAGATAGAGCCAGGCTGAACTACCATCGGGAGCACTCGAACTCCATAGCATAGAGGGCAGCGCTAGTATGTCATTCATCAGACATAGGGGATACATAACTAACAGGTGGCAGGTGTCTATCGAAAAAAGATCTAATGGATTCGTTTTCTGAGTACCGAATAACAAACACGGTGAGTTATGTTTCCCTTTAGTAGACAGGAATTTTGTCCCGCTTTGCTTTGTCTTATGGAAGGAATGTAAGACAGAGGAAAATGACCACGAAAAAATGGCCATGGTTTCTGCATCCTTAGTTTCAAACGTGAATTTCCTGTGGTTTTAACCGTCAGTTCCTACTTCTCAACTAATTCCGTCAAGTTTTACACTGCACGGATGATAAGAGTGCCTCCTTATGAATGCCGGCGGGTGACTTTCCCAGTGCATCTGAATGTTGGTAAGTAAAGCGACTGCATGTCCGATTACCAAACAACGAAAATGATCAGATCATCGCAACAAAACGGATCACTTGTTCGAGAAGAATGGACTTAAGACCTTGTTCAAGCAACATTTCCAAACCAAACGGGCAAATCGGTTTGTTTCAGACCAACTTTCTCTTCCTTGCTCTTCATGCGGTTTTGTTTCTTGTTCTCTTGCAGCTGAGTTTCTGTAATCTACTGACTTGCTACTGACTACCGGTTTTGCACCCACTCTTTTGGCCTTGAGAAATGGCTTTTGCCATTCAATAGAGATGACAGAAGAATGATTTTGATAGACTTCATTTTTTTCAAACGTTCCCGTTAACCGAATCATGTACCACACAGTGACGGGAGTACCATATACCTAAATTTTAGACCCATAGCTTTTTCGCATTCGAGTCAGAGTAGGGCATCTTGATGGCAGAATTTCGAGGACAAGACATACCTAATTTGCGATCACAATAAAGTTAAAAGGTGATAGTTATAGCAATTTTGTGTGTGAGACCAACACCACTGTGTTGTATTAACTGCTTAGCCTCGCAGGTCTGCGCGCAGACCATCAGCGCTGTAATAAGCGAAGTTTGAAAGCGTTATTAAGATCAGACTGACAAGGTTTTGGATAACCATCTAATGCATTCGTTCTACTCATAGAGAACAATTTTATGCCCCTGTTTGCACTTTTCTTCGGACATGGAATTACCAATGAAAGGAAGAAGGCCTTTGCTGCGGAGTCATTTATTAGAAAATGCCAACTGACCAGTTACAGACCATTGGACAGAGAAGCAGAACTCTCATATGCATCTTATTCACATAAACTGAACATCCACTCTCCCTTGAACGCGTCTTCCTGAACTTTACCGGATATTCATTGACTGTTGCTCAAGCGCAAGCAAATGCTACTCCGCAAATTCCGTAATGCATCTCACTTTTCGAGAGACGCGAACCAGGTTTACGAGAAGACATACTACTCGCATGCCCCCATCAGTGGTATCCACCGTTACACTGGTAACCGGTGTGTTAAGTTTGATTTTCGTCACCTGTACAGCTTGTGTACGATATCCTACGATTTGGCTATTGCATGACAATGCAGTCCTGTTTTACAAATTGTGTCTAACTTACACAAACGAATGACACATTCAATATTATCATCGCTCTCATTGATGTTGTGAACCTTTGAGGAGTTTTGAACTTTAACCTGCAATTTGAGCTTGCTACCTGTAGGTACTATTCCAGTGCATATCTTAGCAAGTGAACATGTTGGCAAGAGACGCGGATGGGGCTCTCGAAGACCAACATTTTTTTGCTAATCACTGCATGAGATAGGACCGTTATATGCGAATATGAACCACAATGTTATACTGAGAACCGTGGAAGCCTTTGGGAGTTGAGTACTTACTGAGTTGTTATGCCCAACTTCGGAATCGCGTTCTAACTTCACTGCCCTGGATTCTGTACTGTATCGTTTCGTATTGAACTACATTTCAACGGATGGTGCTTCCCAGGCATCACATGCCAGGCTAGGCCGATCCAAACCAGCTACAATCAAGGAGAGCTCACCTATGCTGCATCAACGGTGATTATAACAATCGCTTCAGCTGACAATCGGCCAATAAATCTGGCTCCCGTAGGACCGGGGAGGATTATCAACGTTTGCTGGTTAACTGGGCTT